TGGAGGAACTGAGCATATAAAAGGACAACTTTCCTACAGAGGTAGGAGACTGTGGCCATTGAGTGACTAAGGGAGCAAAAGGCTGTGAGCGTGTCGGCCACTAATGGTTCAAGCTCAGGAACCTTGCAGTGTTTAGTCTCCTGTGGAGCTGGCCTCCGATTTCCTGAGGGCTTTTAATCACTTGGATTTTAACTCTAATAAAAACGTCTGTACCAACTTCCACCGCTGGACAGTTGGAAGTTGGATTTGATCCACTCTGAGTAAGAGCCCTGGTTTAGGGGAAGATCCTTGGCTGCCATTTCGTAAACAGACTTTTGCTGAGAATCTAGGATGTGCTACTTCTCAGGCCCAGACGCCCTGGCAATGCTAAGGGCACAGCAGTTCTTTTGTTAATCTACACTTGTGGCTAAACCTGTCTCATTCAGGACAGAACACATAAGTGGGAGGAACGGCTGCTGCCCCTCATACTCATAGCAACATAAAAATCTTCTCAAGTAAAGCATGAACCTCTTCTTCTCATATATGTCCTCATAGTCCTTCTATGACGTCCATTTATTTCAGTATTTCCATAGCAACTGTAGCTATGAAATTACCCCCAAACGTAGAGGATTTCTAAATTGTATCAGATTATGCTAAGGCAAAAAGCAACGATAATAATGTTTTTAATGGATTAAGCCCTTCTGTTAGTAAACAATTTTTGTAATGTATAAAATATCACAATTGTTCATTCCCTGTCTTTGAAGACAGGGAAGAAGTTAATATCTCCCTTTCATAAATGAGGATACCGGTCCTCGGAAATTAAATGGCTTACCCAAGGTCACACCAGGAGAGCAAGGTCTAGAAGCAATATATTCTATTTATATCACCTTACTTCTCAAGGAAGCTTAGTGCTCGTAATTTTAATATGTTCATTTACACAAATCCATAAAAATAATTAAAACTAAGCTTTTAAGAGATCACCAAAGTTGAAAAGCATCTTACTCGTTTTGTTAATAACTATACAAACTTAAATTAAAATAATTATTACAGGAGTGCCTGGGTGGTTTGGTCAGTTGGGTGTCCGACTCTCAATTTCAGCTTGTCATAGTCTCAGGATCGTGGGATGGAGCTCTGCATCAGGCTCCATGCTCAGCGCAGAGTCTGCTTGTCCCTCTCGCTCTGTTCCTCCCCCCACTCGAGCGTGCTCTCTCTCTCTCTCTCTCTCAAATAAAGTAAGTAAAATCTTTAAAAAAATAAAATAACTGTTACATAAGGCACTTATTAAATTGGTTCAAAGTAAATATAAATAAACTTCTTCAATAGTGGATAGGTTATAGTTTAACATATGGTTTCACATTGCTGATGGCTCTGTGAATTTGAAAAATCTTTCTAAAGAAATCGAGCAAAAGTTCTCCAAATTGCTGCAAAGTAAACTTGGTAATATAAATCAAAGAATTTATGCTAAGGAAAAAAATTCAAAGTAAAAGAATATAAAACTTTTACTCAGCTATTTATAGGCATGTTATTTACAATACTGAAAGAATGGAAAACACCCAATACCTTTCTAGTGGCAAATAGCTTTAAAATGTAGTATGCAAACATAATGCAAAACTAAACAGAAAAAAACCTAAAAAAGAGCAGTTATTAACAGTGGAAAGCTATATACATATTTATATTAAGTCAACCAATAGAAAACACAAAAGAAAGCATATATGAAATGATTAAAGAGAATTATAGTGCCTTACAGAACCAAACTGGTTTAATTACAGTTATGTATGTGCAAGGATTAAGGATTCAGGAGACAATAGGAAAATATGAATAATCACTGAAGCAAAGATGAAGACGTAATTGGTGTATTTTTCCCTCCAAATTATGTAAATGGTCAATTTAAATATGATCTAAGTTGATCAATAATTAATTTAGGCAAGAAGAAATTAAATTTATATTAGGTGAGTCTCCTTCCTAAAGTCGGAGCATCGGACATGGGTGGTCTTTACACAGAAATAATGAACTAAACCACGATCATGAATATTCTGATTCTATTACCCAAAAAAAAGCTCACTGACTGAGCTGCAGGGCCTGCGTGTCCTCCACACTTTGTTTACACAGGATGTCTCTTGGACATCAGTTTCCACCAATGGAACCTGAGGCAGTTTGACTGGATGGCATCACAGGTATTTCTGTTCGAAGGGCTTTGGTTCCAAGAGACAGACATACATCCCTAGGATCCTCCTTACCACACACTCTGTCTTCAAAACCAACTTGTTTCATTTTAGTCTCTGGGCTTTCCCGATCCCACCCCCAAAGAAAACTTTACATTTCTGGTGTGGCAGCTTGTTGGACTTAACGAAAAGTCCCAAAGAAATTAAAATACTAACACATCCATCTGAGAGCTTGAGGGCTGTGCTGAACTCTCAAATCAATACTGAACAAGGGTCTCTGAATACAGCTTAACTGGATTCTGATAAGAATTAAATTACACTTTAGAGTTGCCATGGATAGAACTCATAAAGAAAAATCTTGATTAAAGGTTCTTCGGAGGGAGAGATGTCAAAAAGGATGGTAGGAATTTCCATTGTTTGAATTCACCCAGCTCTTCCGAGGATGTGATTAAATATTTCTCAGATACTCTTCCTTGTCATAAGCACAGTCTAAGCAATAGGGCAACCAAAACTGAAGGAACTACAACTCAAGAATCACTGAGCTCCTATACCTGGCCTGGAGATCAAAACCGGAGCCCACACACTGTAGAAACCTGTGAGTTAGCCAGATGGCACTTTTTTTCAGTCTTATTACACACCCAGAAGGGCAAGAAAAGCATTTAAAAATGGGACAGGGGTATGCCTGAGAGGTTAAAACAATTCCCTAAAGCTCAAGGAGTCTCACGGCACATGTAAGGTCCTCATGTTCAGAAGTACTAAATATGCCAGAAACCTTACCAAAATTCATCTCAGAATAACACGCATTCCATTACCATTCCTTGGGCAGGCCAAATGTGCTTTACAGGAATGCCTCATTTCATCTTCACAAGCCTTTGAGGAAAATCCTGCAATCACCCCCATTATACATATGGGGGCACTGAGGCTTGGAAAGAGCTTTCTCAAGGAGGCAAAGCCTTATAAGTCATGAAATCAAATTCAAACCATGTTCTTCACACCATGTTACACTGTTTCCCAATATTGCTCATATGATCCTTAGCCCCAAGGGATACAAGAAAAAATGAAGGAGACTGCCACCAGAGCACCATTAAAGTAGGAAATAATCAACAGTGCAGTCCAAAAAAGGATGAAAAATAGACACAGAGCTACACAAAACACAGCAGTGTGTGGTCACTTCGTATAAGGACAAAGGGCCACAGGTGCTTCCAGAGGCTCTGTGGACATCGTTGTCACAGAGCTCACTGCAGTAAGTAATTTCATGTGCTGGCCCTAAGCCATTGTCCATGCGGTCTGTTTACAAAGGCAGGGGATTTTGTAATGTTTTTCTTTTCAGTAAAGATTTCAAAGGGCTACATCTGAAATATTCTTATTTCCTAAGGAGGTAAGACTTTCCCTCATATATGTAACTGCCCCCTTCCAGATCAATAGGACATTACAGTGTTTCTGTTTATGTTCTAGACAAACTAAAAATGTGTGCTGTCAGCAGAGACTATGGGACCAGGGGTGTGAAGGAGTGAATATAGCCCTGGTTATGACATCAACGATGGGGCAGGGTTTCTTTACAAATACTGGCGAATTCAAATGCAGGGTGGGACCTAATAACAAGAGGTACAACTATGCCACTTGGGAAACCTTCTGCTGTG